GATCGATAGTGTTGTTCTTTCCATTCATCAACTGTTTGTATACAGGATCGATAGTGTTGTTCTTTCCATTCATCAACTGTTTGTATACAGGATCGATAGTGTTGTTCTTTCCATTCATCAACTGTTTGTATACAGGATCGATAGTGTTGTTCTTTCCATTCATCAACTGTTTGTATACATGATTGATAGTGCCGTTCTTCCCATTCACCAACTGTTTGTATACAGGATTGATAGTGCCATTCTTTCCATCCACGAACTGTTTGTATACAAGATCGATAGTGTCGTTCCTTCCATTCATCAACTGTTAGTATACAAGATCGATAGTGTCGTTCCTTCCATTCACCAACTTTTCATATTCAGGATGGGTAGTGCTGTTCTTTCTATCCACCAACCGTTTATACAAGATGGACAATGTCGTTCATTTCATCTACTAACTATTCTTATGCCGGATAAATCGAAAGTGAATACAGTTCTTTAAATGTTAGAACTTTTTAAAATTTGTTTATTTTTTTCTAAAACTCACCCTTAGAAAATATGAACAATTTACCCACCGATAGACTCTATAAGAACAAAAGTAAATTATCCTCAAAGTATAACGTTTGTATTTTAACATAAATAGCTTCCCCAGAAACATTAATAAAATACCGTTTTGTTTATATTAGTTATTTATCTTACACTTACAAAGACTATTTTACATTCTTAGCTCAGTATATGAAATTAATACTAACCTAAGTCTCGTGAGATATTATTGGAATTACAACTAAAAATATCATAATAGCAAGGGTATTTAATTGATGAATAGATGCACGTAAATCACTCTACTGTTTTAGTACGATTTATTTTAAGAAATTACATACTAAAAGTTAGACTGTCATGTAAAATAAGAAACATTATTTACCATGTTAGTATTTTTGTAGTTCTGATCCTTGTTTTTACTTTGTTTTTTTAAGAAGTTACTAATTAATATGCTCAATTGCACAATGATTTCTTTTTATTAATTATACCATCGGATGTACTAAAAGATTAAAATTTTTCTGATGACGTGATCGTGACCTTTCTTTAATAAATCCAAAAGAAATAAAAATACATTATTGTTCAACAACTATAAGTCTTGGTAATTTTTCCGAAGACATTTTTAAGGAACTCCTGTGAGAATGTTTTAAATATATATTTATCTAATAGTTAAAATGCCTCGATGGCTTAGCGCTAAGTAGGGGGATCCCTCCAGAGGGTACATCAAAGACAGAAATATTTTTCGCTTTGTATTTTAATCATTATTTTATCTTACTATATTTCTCACTTGTCTATATTATTAGACTGAACATATATTCGTTTTTAGAGGTTAATAAGGATTAAATAAGGTCAAACGTTTGAAAACTCAATGAGTATTTTCTGAAGACAAATGGGTCAACAGTAAGTCAACTTATCATTAACTACCCATGTTATATTATTGAAAACATACAACCTAGACCATTTTTATTGGTTTAGTTTCTTTCTAATTTTGCCCAAAGCTACACGAGGGCTATCTGTTTGTTTGTTTGTAATTAAGCACAAAGCTAAACAATAGGCTATCTGTGCTTTGCCCACCACGGGTATCAAAACCTGGATTCAAGCGTTTTAAGTCCGCAGACATACCGTTGTGCCACTGGGGGGGGGGCAGGGCTATCTGTGCTAGCTGTCACTAATTTAGCAGTGTAAGACTATGGGGAAGGCAGTTAGTCAACTCCACCCAACGCCTAATCTTGGGCTACTCTTTTACCAACGAATAGTGGGATTGACCGTCACATGATAACGCCCCTACGGCTGAAAGGGCAAGCATGTTTGGTGGGACGGGGATTCGGACCCGAGACCCGCACCTGGCCATACCGGGTTCTCTTAGGAAGAGACCTATAGTACGTTTGGTAAGAAGGATCACGCTTGACGGTATGTTGAACATAACGTAATTATATTTATACTTTTAAACAAAAGCAAAATTCTAGAATTAAAAACACAAATCATTTCAAACTATACCTTGACGGAATTCTCTTTGTTTGTTGTTTTCGTTTGTAAAGATTGAAGGTAAAATAGGCTTCTAGATGACAACTGATCTTCCTCTTTAGGCAGCCTGAGTAATAAGATGCGCTTTCCCGATGATGATATTTATTTATTTCAACTATAATAGAAGGCATAAGCTTTTGTGTTGAAATAAACATACATAATCAACAGTAACTCCGCTTACTTGTGCAGAAAACTGAATAAAACATTTCTATAAGTGCTAATATGTCCAGTCAGAGATAATGCTTTGATAAACTCGACAAACAACTACATGTTCCATATATTCTAGCGAAGGACCTGCCTACATCAAGTAATGAAATAAAGGGGATAAGACGATAAAACCGACGATAAACACAGCTATGAGTGTGATGGCAATGGAACTCAATCCCATCCAGGCACCGCTTTTTTCTTCTTGTGGTGAGGACGCGTGAAAACTGGATGATCGTAAGGGTCGTCGCATTCTTCCGGGGGCGGTAAGGGCAGAGGAACGTCGTCGATGAAACTGTGCTCGCACTCGTAATCTCTTCTGCCGATAGATTCCCTGGGGTCCATCCAGGTACGGACACAAGAATGCATAGGCATGCATACAGATGGACAAGGGTCTTGAGGCGAATCGATGTCTCCTTACTAAAACTGAACAGTTTTTAGTACCATACGTAACACATGTGCGAATTAAAAAACCAGAAGACAACGCTGTAACCAGAATTATCTCCTTTTAAGTTTCCTTCCTAATCAGCCGTTCACAGTTAAATGAAAACTTTGATTCGTTGTTACGTAATGAAAGAGTAAGATGTGAAGTTTCTGTCAAGGTATAGCTAGTTTTTCCTGTCTATGTAAGCAGTCTGAATTTTCTATTGTATTCAAGATGATGAATACCTTATGATTAATATCTCTGACCTGTACTGATCGTCAGATGGTTTCACCAGAGAAAACGGCAGCTGTTGTTCCTTAAAGATGCGTTCTGTTTAATCCGTGCGGTACACTTCTGACCATAACTTTTTCCCAATAGTCTGAAGGCGGAAGTGTGTTACGCCTTGAAATAGAAAGAGTACACATCATCTGTCGAAGACATACATATATATTGCTGACTCGTTATGTGGAAAAAGTCCAGTCCTGGAAAAGATGCGATTAAATTTTCTCACACTTTATTGTTAACAGTTGTGACTTTTCTCTGCTACAAACACTGATCTGCACTTAACTGGAAACCTGAATATTCTTACACCGTGAGGCACGACCAGCTCTGCACACGACAACCTCGTCAGTGCAACTGGCGTCACATGATGGAACTCAAAGCAAACTTTCAACTCAGGCAGCACCACCTAAACACATTCGATTTTTCGATATTTTATCCCGGGCCAGATCCCTGGATTGAACTTGTTTACGAACAGTTTCTACGTGAACGAGGATCATAAGGAGCGCTCTTGTAAACGATCACTTTGCGTGATTCTTTATTTCGGTAGCGAATGTGTATTTGTACAGTCTAAGAAGAACATTAATATATAAGCTGAAGTATAACTATGATACTGGTAGATGCAAAAGACTGAGAAGACTTCGTGGCCTTTTGATAAATTGTGGACGTGAGAAGAATAGGAGTTTTGGAATTAATAAGGAATTAATTAATATAATTAATTACATATAAAAATAGAGACGAAAAGAAATACAGATTATAAGTATATAATCTAACCAAAAATAAAAAAAAGTATACAGAAATAGAGAAAGACAGAGAGATAGAAACAGGAGATAAACAAGTAGAGAAAGACACAACAAAGTAAACAGATAGAGAGATGAGGTAAGGAGACATTCAGAGATAAATAAATGTATTCCTTTTTTACAAGAATAAATCATCTCAAGCTGTTGAAAAATTTTATTGCCGTTGAAACCATTATTTCAGAGTAATTAAAAATACAATCTATGTTTAGAAATATCCAGAAAAGGAACTATATATTTTTTGTTTATATGTTTAAACTACTAAAATGACTAACCACAGTTTGTTTGTTTTTTTTAATTATGCACAAAGCTACACGAGGGCTATCTGTGCTCTGCTCAGCGGTATGTCTGCGAACTCACAACGCTAGAAACCGGGTTTCGATACCCGTGGTGTGCCACTGACTGGCCACAGACAGGTATCGTTCAGGAACTCTGTGCAAAAGTAAGTTAATCTATCGATCAAATCAAAAATAACATAAATGTGTGGTACTCCATATAATTTTTTTTTATTATAAGATTTTGCAAAACCCACAAATAATGAGATATTCGAAAGAAAACGTTTTCTAGAATTAAACTGAGTTCTCTTGGTCTCAACTAAGTTGTGAAAAAGAAAGAAATTAGACTCAGTGTGAAAACGATTTTTATTCAGTTCATAAAACATGATCAAAATGACAAGTGCACAAACGAAGGACATATTTACTGGATCTTCTGTAAAAATCTTCAAAATATGTTCCAGTCTGAGAAAACATAACATTATACATACACAGTTCAGTAATGCTATTCTGTTAGGGCACATGCACTACACGTGTCGTTGTTGAGTCATTATAATAAAATATATCACTAAACCTGCCAATGGAAAAGATCGCAGCTTACCTTTATATAGCATGTTAAAACTTATTCCAGTCTTTCTCACAAGTTTTGTTAGGGGCGAGATTCTTTACAGTAGGTGTCTGTGACTTGTTGGTAATAAATTTCAACAATAAACGGATATCACACATTCCACTTATTTTAAAATAATATATGTTGAAACAAGACAGACGTATGTACAAAAATTTGTTACACTATTGGTTATCACAGTTGTATGCAGAGTTTTAAATATTTGTCTATTTTTCGTCAAAGTCCACACAGGCAGATTCAGTTACTTTAGAACACCCTTTGACAAAACTAGTTTTCTCTTCTAATCTGTTACTATAATACAATCATGATAAATTCACTTACGTTGCCCCCTGGGTTACCACAATTGTACCCAAAGCTTCAAATAATTCTCTTATTCGTCAAAAGTCCACACAGGCTGGCTCAGTTACTTTAAAACCTGTAACGAATTTGTTATTATATATTTATTTTAATATCGACGTTTGTTTAGATTAACTTTATATTTAAAAACATGCATAGCTTATACTGTTAAATATGTATTGCGAAACTCCCACCTATTCTCCAAAGTTGTGTTAGCGTCAGTATTGTTACGTAGCACTTAAATTTCGAGAAAGCCTCCACACGCCTATAAATATAACCAATGCTATGCGCCAAAAACAGTATCTATTATTACTTTGCTATATTCAATGTGCTATAATCTTCGGGAGTTATAACATTTATAAAGTTCGAACATTACAAATCATTTAACTTCAATGGATTCTCATCGGACATTAATATTTTTACGAAAACATTATATAACTTCATCAAGGGAAACTCGGCGTGAGTGGCTGGTGAGTAACAAAGAACAAAGCTAGCTATCTCCCTGTTAAGTGAATTATACCTACGTCAACTCATAATTAACTCGCTCATCGTGAACCCTCGATAAGATATCAATGAAGTTCCAGACTAGAAAGAAGACTTTATATTGCTTATAAGTTTGTGAAACTTTTGTTTATAAATCATTATTTGTAATAACTATTTGTAATAACTGTTATTGTAAATTGTATTATTGCTTATATATTCAAATATATTTGCATTAAAAAAAGAAAACTATATGTATCAATCTTGTTGGCAAATATCATAAACTGACTATATATCGGCTTTTACTTAGCTACTAATCCAAAGTATAATTTAACACGTAAATTTGAATGATGATTTAACTCAATATCAAGCTATTTGAAATTATAATATGTAACAAACCCAACTGACAAGACGATTTATTCTTCTCTACTGTGTTATTACAATACAATCTGCATCTATAACACTTTAAAAGTCACCACTATACACTCTTCACGGCTAAAATTACAAACACAGTTTAAATTTATATCTCTCACTAATGTTGTCTTACTTTCATTTTCACTGACGTTTCTTACTTGCATTAACATTGTCGCCTATGTATATATATATATATATATATTGCTCGATTGAGGCCTAGAGCCTTCTACAAGATACGAGACCTTATGATGTAACAATGCTCACTTAAAGCAACGAGAAAAATTCAGAAATTTCGAGTAACAAGACGTCAATTCACAACAGTTGAACTATGCAACAAATGATTTGTAAACAGTTACGTATTCACACCTGCGATAAATTATGGCTTCTAAAAATGCTAACTTTTACACTCGCGCTTTTTAACTATGTAAATTATAACTCTCTTAATAATTTAAATGAAACATTCATGTATACCTAACAAAGATCAACAGATAACTAGGGTGAAAGGAATTTAGCCAATTTTTTCCATAGTTCTACGTTAAACCTGCATGAAACTTTTGGTGAATGTACGACAGTTAACTAGAAGGATAGAAAATACCTAGCGCATTTACATATTACATATTTCATCCCTTTCTTTGCTCTAGCCGAACTCTGCCATCCTTAAGTTTAAAGTTTAAGACCGAGTTAAAATAGCTTGTGCATTGGTCAGTAAATTAGCGAAATTAACGAAATTAGCTCTCGCCCCTGTTAACACACAATTAAAACAAAAATATGATAAGATATTACAAATTAAAACTCAAATTATAATTAAATCAAGCTGAATACAGTACAATGACATAAAATTACACTGTATATGAAATAAAAAATAAATTGAACTTTCATTAAAAAGAAGGCATTAAAATGAGAATAGAATAAAATACCTTTATATTAAAATACATTATATTGAAAAAGGCAAATGTAATAATATCAAAGAAATGCATAATAATCCTTTTGATATCCTAAAAAATTGAAAAAGAAAAAGCATTATGAAGTTATAAAATACAAAAAACGATATTTTTTTTTCCACAATGTTTACAAAAATGATAAAGTGCATAAACAAAATGTTAAAAATTTAACTTGGTTAAAACAGGAAATAAAATATACATCTGCAAAATCATACCAACACTATAATGCAGAATATAATACTCATTGGTGCTACATATTCACATATATACAAATATATGCTGTAAAAATACCCTTCTTCATAAAACAGTTAAAGACACGTGAAAAAACAACAATATATATATAGCAAAGATCTTTAACACGAATCCCATTCAATACATTAACCCTTTATCATTGAGAAAATAACTGTTTAGAGAATGATTCATGAAATACAATATAAAGTTACTTCTGCTTAGTTGTTTTTCTCTGCAGTCTGGACTGGGCTGTAATCATTGCGTGACAGCTTCAAGTGTTGGGTAGTGCACAGGCTCAGCTTCAGAGGGACAGCACGGACAAACAGTGTTTCTCTAGTCATTAATGGTCGAACAACGGGGTGGTATCTCAAATTATCCATTAACAGAATACCATCATTCATAGGTTCATTGTCATTTCCACTCAAGTCAAAAGTTTTTCATAGTTTTTGTTATTTCAGAGTACTCCTGATGTGAATGAATACAGGTATTTCAGCAAGCAAATGAATGTATGTGAGACTTCTGGCAAACCCGGTCGATGACAACCCAAAAATGGACAATGATTTGATCACGTACAACAAAAAGTCAGAAAAGAAAAATACACAGTCACATGGCTTCTGATTGATCAGAAGTTCAACTAGAAACGTATGCTTGAATGTCATGACAGCATGGTCACAATCTTAACTATTAATTTGGTCAAGTGGCATTATTATTATAAACATCAAGTTAGCTGCAGATTTTTTTTATCATACTCCTCTTAATTTGTCCATTGTGGCTCAAAGTCAGAGGAAAATAGCATTTCAGATCAATTTTTTGCCTCCCACAAGTCATTGCTCAAGAATCATTTTGTTCAATACCAGAACTCATCAACTATGAGAAACAAAAGACTCTATAAAATGGTATTTATGTATTATTCCTTAAAAGTTAGTGTTTAAACGCCAAAATCCAGTGAATTATTGAAAACCAGTTAACTTGACTTTTTATAAGAGTTTTAGGCATAATGATTTCAAATTGTTTGTTAGCTTTTGGTGTTTGAATCGTGGTATTGTTACAGGCTCAACTGCTCATTTGTATGTTGCCTGTATACAATCTATCCCTTGTGCCTTTGAATGTCATGATTGATTCACAAGGCTTCATTGGATCTCATGCTTGACCATTTCTCAGCTGTGCTGCCCACTGTTATCGTTTCCATAACAACAGCAAGCATAGCTACTCTGTAACCTGCTCACATTCCCTCTACTGCTG